TGGAAACCAATCCCTTTCCAACTTTAGCGGCCGATCAACTAAGCCCACTGTCTATTGCATGATTCATCTTCTACTTCTTCATATGACCAATCCTAAATGTAAAAATAAACAACCTTAATCAGTTTAACAGTAACTATTTGTTTCTTATTTTTTAAATAAATAAAGTTACCATTAAACTGATCACATATGGTAGAAAGGTAGAACACATACACAAACACACACACACAGTTCCCAATTTAAAACACATGACATATGAATGACCTATAGGTACAATGGGTGCTGCTGCCTCCCCGCCCCCAGGAGGGGCCACGAAACAACCCCCACTGCTTGGGGAGCCCCTATTCCCACTGCTGGGTTGGAGGGTGTGTGTTCCTGGCACTCCAAGTTAGCCCTCAGAATGCAGGCTCCCCATGCAATGATACAGATGGTGGTTCAGTTCTACGATACTAGTGTTCAGGTACATGAGGGAATAAATAGGCATTTGTAGCTGCCTGGGAACTAAACCATCATTTATAACTCTTTATAGGGAGAAATGTATTCTGAAGTTCTCAATAAGTGACATACAAACTTAGAGTGTAATCAGTTTGCAAGTCTGGGGCCCTGTGTGTGTTTGTGTGTGTATATTTCTATATATTTATAAAAAAATGAAGTGAAGTGAAGAGTGGTGCTAGGTTCCTGGAGCAGCTGCTTGGCTTCCATTTAGTCAGTCCTGATCTAACAAGTCACTTGCCTCAGGCCTTCTTTACCAGCTCATTCTGTCTCTCACTTGCTTCTGTCTGCTGGAGAGATTCAGAAGAGGCAGCTCACACAAACCAGAGGAGTGCACAGCTCAATCTTCTGCTAAGAATCCTGGCAAACAGAACTGCCAGATTCAACCGGGGCTGCTTTACAGAAAGAAGTCCTTCAGTTCCATGCTGAAGAAATGGAAGTTTTGTTTTTTTTTTTTTTTTTTTGCTTCTAGCCCCTGTAACTCCATCTAACTGCAGCTCTGTATGAATGCCTCAATATTGCAAAAAACACAGGATCACCTCTTAAATACGCTGGATTCTCAATGAGTAAACCAGTTAATGTGTTTCTAGCCAAAGCAAGGGCATAAATGTTTTAGAGAAAAGACTCCCCTGGAGCTACAGAGAAAAGATGCTGATAAAAGCAACACTGAGAGTGGAGCAGCTGACGCTCTCAGTCTGTGTCGGAGCTGGTCTCTTCGATGACGGAGTACTGGTTGAGGGCTTCCTCCAAAGGCGTTATTGTCCCATCAGGTTTTAGTCCCATTGGTTTAAGCAACTCCTCTCTGGAAAGGGAGATAAAAGAAAAAAAAAAAGTATTCACCAGCATCTCACACATACCCTTCCCCCACCCAGATTCACATCCTTTAAAAAGAAAAGTCTTTAAAAAATCAAAGTATTTTTCTTCAAGCTCTGTGTGTTTGTAACAGGAAAGAAGAAAGGGGCATAGGAAGAAAAAGAGGGAGATAAAAGACTTCATTCACACAGGCCAAACCTACTAAACCAATTAAAAGTATGAAAAGTCAAGGTCTAAATGGCTCAGGACAAGGAGCAGGTCTCTTCTATTTTTAATAATCTGCTTTCCCCTCCCCTTTTGTGGATTTGTTTTGTTTTAGTATAGCTGCCAAAACTTCACCTGCCCCCAGTGGACCAGGCATACAATTAAATGGCTGATTTAATACACGTGCTTTTCACTCAGTGGAAAAAATCTATCAGATTTGATTTTACTTCCACAATCTCCAGCGACACATAAGTATTTGTTGAATCAGTTGGCCTTCCCCAACTTTCTCCTGCCTCCCTTCTCTCTCTAACACCATTGCTTTCGTTTGTGGCAGTTTAATTATTGGATTGACGGCCATTTTAATCTCTTCAAAGCTCCCCAACTGCCTCTTTTCAGCTAATCCAATTATACCTACTCTACAAGTTACAGCCTCATCTAAAGATGATTAATTATTGATTAAACCAATCAAAAAGCATTAGGAAAGATTTATTTAATCTTTTCAGGCTCTTATTTATTACATGGCGATTACGGCAAATCTACCTGTTGGGTTGACTAACTCCAGTCCTCCTCCCACCCCGAAAATGTCAGCAGTGTACCTTAAGAGTGGTCTTGAAAAGGCACATGAGCTGCTTAAAATGTATTTCTCACAAAAATGGGCATCAGCCTCTGAAAACACATCTATGACCAAGAACCTATGCGGCACCAGTTAGAATGTTGGGATTTGGAGAGAAGGGAAATAAAACCTCTCCCCTGCCTCCGCTGTCATTGCCTTAGGCCAGCACAAAGACAGGCTGCCTCCCAGAGAGGCCAGCCACACAAGAGTGCAATGGTGTTAGAGGTACACTGAGATATCGGGGGAGGGGTAAGAACAGCTCAGTGGTCCCAGGATAAGCCAACAGGAACCTAATTAAGCAGCTCTGCCAGCACCAGAAGACTGTTTCTGAGAGTCTGAAAAATCTGTTTGAGAAATGTGGATGGCTAAATGGCTAAGTGGAGGCTCCTGAATGTTATGAAGTAGGAAACTCATTTCCTGATGCAAGAAATGGGGTCATAGTCATAGTTTAAAGTTGGAAGGAGCCTTAGGGATCATTTAGTCCAACCCTCTCGTTTACTTAGCAAACTGAGTGACTTACCCAAGGTCACGTATCTAGTGGCAGAGTTGGACCTGGGACATAGGTCTCCTGAGTCCCAGTCCAGCGTTCTTACTAGCACACCACATGGGGATCAACTGCCCTAACTGCACTGGAGGAGCACGCTCTGAGTTTATGTTTGATAACTATGTGCCAGCAACTATGTCATATCATGGGGAGAACAGGAAGACTGGGCACAGCTGCTATGCTGGAGGAGCCGGTGAAACAAATATACAAGAGAGAACTTAAAACATAATGGGGTAAATGCTGTAACAGAATTATGAACAAAGAACTGTGACAGCTCTTGAGACGAAGCATAGACCGAAATGCCTGAGGAAGGTGGGGAAGGCACCAGCAATGAGGTGTAAATGACGGGTTGTATGCAGACCTTTCCTGATCGTGTGAGTTCATCTTCTCTCTCTCTGTGCCCTCATGAAGCTATGAAAGGGCCCAGTGTTCAGGGAATGGTGATGTTTGGTAAAAGTGGCAGGAGATGAGGCTGCAAGGGGAGTTTGGGGTCCAACAGTCACGTGTCTTCAATACCAAAGTAAGGACCTTAGATTTTATCCTGTAAGGAGTGCCTGAAAAGATTTGTCTTATAGGAAAAGTAACTCTGGCAGCAGTGTAGTAGACTCACTGGAAAAGGGAGAAGCTGGAAGCAGAAAGAAAAGCGATTAGGAGGTCCTAATAGTGTGAATGAGAGGAGACAGCGCTGATTTAAGGTGTGGTGGTGGGAAGAGAAGGCAGCCTTTCTCAGGCAGATCTGGTGACCCACTGGAAAGGGAGGGGGCTGGGGAAGGAGTGTAAGTACAGTGCCCCTGTGGCTTCCAGCTTGGATGACCACCTGGATGGTGACACCAGTCACTGGACAAAGAACACGGGAGATGGAGCAGGTTTGGTGGGGAGACACTAGTATCTTTTAGGACATGAAGAGCTTGTGGTGCTTGCATGACAACCAGGTAGAAATGCTCAGGGGAAAGCTAGGGACAATCTGTTTCCATTAAAACTTCACTTTAGCACTGGTAACAGTACATGTCTACATTTTACAATATATACTCTCCTAGTTCTAACTGTGCGGAAGGACTTTGTGATATTGGATACGATATACTAATATCGTATATATAACTGATAAGAGAAGGGGGACAACATGCTGTGAATGAAACATTGAGAAACGTAAGAAAATTCAATGGTCTAAAGGGGTTGGTGGAGTGAGGGCATTGTCAGGTGGGCAGGGGATAAAGAATAGCGACAGGTAGAGAGAGGAATGGCAGATGGGACTAGAGGAATTCTATCAGGGACAGTGATGACTAGCTGGGTGAAAATACCACCACCCCTCAGCTAATACTGCTGCATCTCTTTGATAACATGATAATACTGGTTTTCAGCCATACAAGCTGTCAACCAACTTGTATGAAGTAACTAGCACTTTTTTATTCAAACCTAGGAGGAATATTCTCAAATATAATTTCAAATATTTTCGTTGGCTTCATCCCCACTCCCTAATCCAATTTTGCAATAGAAATAATTAAGAACATTACATAAGTTTTATTGCCAAACTATGGGAATTCATCTATGGAACGAGGGGCTCCATATTTTATTTCTCACTTGCGAACTGATTCTTCTCAAGCATTTATTTCTTGGTGCTTTGTATCACCCCTTCACTAAAATGGAAGCTTCTCTGAAGGTATGAATTATTTTCTTTTCCACTTGTCTCCAGAAGATAACCTGGGCTTATTGATATTTCTATGGGAAAACTGTCAGTGAAAATGGGTATCATGCATTTGTACAAATGAATTAAGGCAGTGATGTATTGTAGGGGAAAGAACAAAAAGATGTGGAGCCAGGAAGTCTGTCTGAAGTCCTGGTTCTTCCAATTACCAGCTGTATGATCTTGATCAAGTCTGAGTCTCAGTTTCCCCATCTGTGAAAAAGGGATGATGATAATAACACTAGCTCTACTTACTTCCTAGTGATGATGTAAAGAGTAATGGCAGCAGCAGCTGCAGGGGTAGTTGTAGTAGTAATAGAAATAATGTAGATGAAAGAGTTCCGTGAACTATAAGGAACTTGTAGATATTAGTTATTATTATTGTGGAATAGAGAAAAGCACATATAGACTTTAGAGTCAGACCCAACTGGGTTCTAATCCTGGACTCACCACTCACTAGCTGTGAACCCTGAACCCTCTGAACTTCAATTTCTTTGCAGAATTAGGAGAGAAATACCCACCTCACTGAGTTGTCAGGAGGGCAAAAGGCCATTATACATCTAAAGTGCATAGTGCAGTGGTTGGAATGTAGTTGAAGCCACAAGTTGCAGTTCCTGTCCCTTATTTGCTGAGGGAAGGTTTCCCTAGGCCTGCGTAGGACACTCTTTGGGAGTAAGTGGAGGAAGAATATGCAGAAGCAAACAAAAGACATGGTCCCTGTCCTCAAGAAGCTTTTAGTCAGTTCAGAAGATAAAACACACACACACTGAACAATATTAAAAGAATTACAGAACAGCAGATCAACAAGCTTGAGTTGATTAACAGGCAGAGCCCTGCTTTCCCTATCTTGACTGTTCACTGATAACACCATTTTTGCATTTGGAATTTGTTTAAAGGAGATTTCCTGTCCTGTTTGGAAGTGGAAGGATGATCTACTTATAGATGTGTGACTTTTTTTTCTTTTGGACCCCAGGCTTACCTCTCATGCCCCCATCCAAACTTTTCTGGTGCTCTTCCTCATCCTACAACTGACAGCCACAAATACCAAAATGAAATCTTTGATACAGAGATTCACCCCTGAAAGGACTGGCAAATCACCTGCTTACACTGGACTGTTTCACTGAATAAAAGCTGTTGTATCTAGATCAGCAAGATGTGGACAGGGAATGGGAAGATCTAATGAATACCACAGAAACGTTAATCCACCAGTCGTATGGGCCATGAACATGTGGGAGGGACACAGAAGGACACGGAGATGCTGATCACAGGCTCCTTGCAGGAGATGGACTCAGGGCCAGATTGAAATGACAGGGATAGACATGGGTTACGGGGAGAAAGGCATCCCAGAAGCAGAAGAATTAGTTAAGCAGAGGCACAGAAGCAAGAGTTAGTTGTGTGCAGGGACTGGCAACCAGGCTGGCTTGGCTGAGATAAAGGAAAAAGAAAGCTCAAAAGAGATATCGGGTATAGAAGAGGATCTGAATGGAGACTCTGAAAGCTCGGCTGACAAGTCTGGATTTGAATACAGAGGTATTTTGTCTTCTATTTCAAAGGCCCCACATTTAAGAATATTTATTAAAAATAATTCTCACTACAAGGTTTGAAAGCTATGAAAAAATACTGCTCTGACATATTTAAAAACAAAATATTGTCTACGCTTTAATCATTCAATTTTTTTATCCCTATGTTTCTAGCACAGTGCCTTGCAGACAGCAGATCCTCAAAAAGTATTTGTGAACTAAATTTACTTGCACTTGATATCATCTTGAACTTTCACGAGAGGAAGGGTATGGTGTCTTACGGGACTCCTAATAACCAAACCATGAACAAGAGAAAAGCTAAATCTTTGGGTAACGGATTCACTTTCATCTTCAAGATTTATAAAGTTAGGAAAGATATTAGCATTCCATAGGAAATTCTGCATAATGCTTCCCAGGGATTTCTAGTTCTGTACTAGACAGGAGCAGCTTGAGGGCAGAGTCCATGTCTTATCTGGCTATGATCTGCCAGTATAGTAAGGATGGGGCACACAGTAGGTATTCAATAAATACAGTACGTGGGCCACGACATAAATGTAGAATGGTTGGGAACAATTTGTCAAGAATCATTCTGTTATTTTAACTGTAACTATTTCCCTGATGAATCCATGTCACAGACATTCTGGCAGAAAGAAGGCCCCCTTTTTACCACACAGCCTAGAATTCCCAAATACTAACTGGGATAGACTGAGCTTATTATATATGCGGCATCAGGAGATATAGATTCTATTCTCAGATCTTCCAATAACTTGCTGGGTGCCCTTGGGCAAGTCATTTGCCTCTCTGAGCTTGAGTCTTCTCATCTATAAAAGGAGGGGGTTGGACAAGATGACCCCCAAGATTCTATTCTAATTCTAAGAGTCTAAGTATTAGGCTACTAAATCATTTTGATCCATTTAAAAAGCTGCTAAGCTTTTAAGACACTAAAACTCATTACTGCTAAGCCATTGTTCAAGACATTCTAAGCCTAAGAGTCAAACACAGCATCCTACCTAATTGTCACTGATGTACACCAAGATTACAAACCCTTTCTGCAAAACTACCGGCAGATGATTAAAATGATTCAAAGGTAAATCAGAGCAATGGCAAATGTTACAAGGAAGAATTCAAATTCAATCATGGCCCTCAATAAACAGGCCATTTCATGAAGAGTCACTGGTCCTAAATTATGAAGGTCCCCATTTAAATAGGATGGGTAGGTGTCATACATATGTGTATCAGAGTAAAACGGAGATACTGTATACTGAAATGTGCATCAGGATTAAGATATTCACAGAGCAACAACTCCTTCATACTTACCTTCAATGCTATACACAGGCCTTAACACATGTTAAGACTGCCCTCGTTATCATCAAAAAGTACAGTGATGTCTACTGGATAAAGAGCCCATTCTAGGCACTGTGACAGTATCATGGCGGGCTTCTCATCTGATCAGGCATCTGGCCAGGGAAGAGATAAGCCTCCAAGAATGTTCAACTGGAACGAAACATCATTTAGAAATTTGATCTTACTAAACGATAAGGAACCATAATCTATAAGGGCTTGGCCAGGCAAGAGGACACAGATAAAGCACGACCAAGGAAGAAAACCCTATTTGTGCCCCAGTGTAACCCTTGGGACTGCTAATATAAACCAAAAATATTTTCTTAAAGATCTAGGGCTGGGAGATCATAAGCCTAATACCATATTTATAATTTTCTGTTTTTTTTTCCAGATATATTTCAGTATTTTCCTGAGCCACCATTTCACTGTAAGCATGGTACTCTGGGATGCCTGGGCTTATATAACTTCTTAGAACCTTAGAGAAGGTCCCGTTTTTTAGGGCTTCTGGTTCCTCTGCGACTCCTTCCCTTTAGAAATGAGAGTGCAATATTGGGGCTCAGATACTAACACACCCAATTGCACATTATCAAACAGGCCAGATGTGTATGTGTATAAAACACCTTACTTGACCTAAAAGCAAGAGAATACTCTTGCCTGCAGCACATTTTTTTGTGCAATACAAACAAAGCATTCAATTCAAGTGTACTTGTTGAAAAACAGGACATAATTAAGCAGTTGGTAAAATGCATTCTTGTTTCCCACTTGCAGATCTCCCAAGAGTCCCTTCGAATTTACCTATACGAGTTTCAGCTTCCCGCTTGCCACTTAGCTTGATAACGACTCAAAAATCATTCCCTTGTTTTCAAGGGCTCTTCTTTCTTGTCTGCTCTGTGTACTACAGGGCAGTATTGACACATGGAATTAATGACAGGGTCTGTAATGAAACAACAGTCATGCAAACACCAGTCTGCTCTTTTGATAAAACAGCATGTTAGAGACCTATTCACCTCCCTCTAATTGAGTACTGCATAATAGTTCCAATCCTTTCATGTAACATATTTTGTTCTATGATTGGGGGGGGGGGTAGGAGACACTGCTTCCTTCAATCACCCCCTGATTAATTCTCTGTTTTTAATGACGGTGGCTGCTATTTAGGCAGGTTCTGTTACATACTGTTTTGTTGACTTCTGTACAATATGTAACAAAACCCAAGACAAGATAATTGGAACCAATTCTTTGGCACAGGGATTCCTGCTCTTAATGTAAGGCTGGCTTGGAAAAAAGAACCCTGACATTTTAAATTAGCCATTTCATATTAATTCCTTTTAACATTTAAAAGATGGGATGAGAAGTTAGTATATAAATAAAGCATTTTAATTAACACAGAGCTTTTCCAAAATGCCTGCTTGAATGGGGCCTGTGATAGCCCCAAGAAGGAAGCTCTGTAGTCTTTGCTATAATTCCAAGTCGGGGAGTGCATTTTATTTCAAAATTTCATCATCACTGTAATAGTCCATAATCCACTGAAATGCAATAGATTTCCTAATAACTTGTGACATTCTTATAAATGTTTTTGCCCTTTTTTTCCCTCACAGAAATAATATTATAACCACTGGGACTGGTTAACATGTTCAGCTGCATACTATGAGAATGTGTCCTTTGGGCATGGACCCTGAGCCTTCATCTTTCACTGTATCTTTCATCCTTTGGCTTCTGCGTGCTGACTGGTTTGGGTATACTGATTTTTTGATAAGTCAGTCACCCAGTAGGAAGGACGGGTATAGTGGCTTTTCCGTAATGTTAGCTCTTCAGGCTGCATTTTTTGAAAACAATTATGACATCCTTCCCTCAGCCCTGATCATGAGGTTTTGGGATTAGAAACAATTGGGAAGGTAAAATATGCAGCATAAAAATCTCATTCCTAAGATGAATGGCTCTGGTGTATTGTGCACATAACCATGTCCTTCCATTTTGTAAAGATAATTGGGAGTTGTCCAAACAGTCCCATAAAAAGTCTTTTAAAAGTTAGGTTTTCTTATTGTGATCCCATTAAGTATGAGTTTGTTAAGACTACCCATCATCATTATCTTTGCAAAATAATTAAAAGACCTTGTATTAACAGAGAATCATAGAAATTTTACTGGCTTTCTTCACATAAAGCTTTTTTAGAAAAATTTTTTATTTAAGCTATTTACTTAGCACCTGACCTGATTATCTGAGGTCAGTAATTGAGGTCAAAGAGCTCAACATGGAAGAAAAAAGCAGGAATGCATGTTCTCTAAACTGTAATTCTCGTCTTAGAAAAATATGTTTATTGTCTGTATTTGTGCTCTGCATTCATTTAAAATTTAGATCATGTTACTTTAATCAGACTGACAAACTTTTGAGAGGTGTTGGTAATTTTTTCAAAACAGTATATGATCTAGAGTCTGAAGGCTGAAAACTGAGTCCTGGCTGTGTCATTAATCAGATGCCTGATCTTGGGTCAGTCACTTAATCTTTGTTTGGTCCATTTACTCCTCAATAAAATACCTCATGCCCTACCTAATTCACAAGGCTATTTTAATGATCAATGGATTGATAATGTATACAGAAACACCTTTCGAACTTTAAAGCACTACATAAATATTAGTTTTTTATTATTGTATTCATTTCTGTTAGAAGACTACATGCAAAGCTTCTAAAAATTTGCTACTCATCTTACATTAAACAGTATGGTTAGGAAAATACACAGAAAAAGGTTAGGGATAATGCTGGAAGAATAAAATTCAGTTTTATCCTTAAGTGACAGTGGTCATTATTATTTTTCAGTAATTTATACATAAAACTTTTCTATCCTATTGTCCAAATTAGCAAAAATAAATATTAATAAGAGGTCAGCATGCCAACTAACACTGTGGAATAAAGCAGAAGTTCTTACATGCTCTTCCTAACAATTAGAAAGACTTAAAAGGAAGGAGGGTAACTAAGGCAGCAAACAGCCAATGGAGATTATTCATATTTCATGTTTCTCTAACTGTCAAAAGCCATTCCAGCTACTGCTTAAACCAAGAGCTCAAAGTAGCCATTTGTACTACAGAACTAAAGGACAATGGCTACAAATAGGCAATTCAAAGGTAAGCATGACATCTTACTTAAAGCTGTCTAGCTAGCAGAAGGGCCCTTTATAACCTAAAGACACAATATCAATATCAGGCTTCTTGAATTAATCTTCCTCTGCCACTTTAGGTGTATACATTTAACTGGATCAAAGTTCCCTTAAGTGAACTTCCAAGCAACCTAACAGTGTATTTTAATGATGTACAGCAGCACTGTCAAACAGAAATATGAAGTAAGCCACAAATGTAATTTTAAATGTTCTACTAGTCACGTTAAAAAAGTAAAAAGAAATAGGTACAATTGATTTTAATAATATATTTTATTTAACCCAATATATAAAAATATTATCATTTCAAAATGTTATACATATTAAACAATTACTAATGGGATATTTTACATTTTTTTGTTTTTGTACTAAGTCTCTGAAATCTAGCATTTTATACTTATAGGACATCCCAGTTTGGACTAATTACATTTCAAGTGCTCAACAGTCATATATGGCTAGTGGTTATCATACTGGATAGCACAGATCTAAAGGGTTTTCTGATGGAAACAATTAAGATCTCTATAGTTTGGTACCTATAGCAGACCTCACAATGCTATAAAAACTGGATCACGTTTCTGAACTGTACCTGAAGACCTTTCGCTTGAACTAATTCATCACAAAGGTAGCTGTAATCAAAGTTGTTGATAGTTTTGTAAGCAGAGTAACGTAAGTTATATATTAGGAAAAAAATTATGTATCTATTACCTTTCAATCATAAATCATCTGTCCCAGTTTAAAAATAATCTTTGCATTAAAGGCAACTATTCCTGTATTTGGAGCCTTGGTGGCATAGTGGTTAAGAGCTCGGCTGCTAACCAAAAGGGAGGCAGTTTGAATCCACCAGCCGCTCCTTGGAAACCCTAGGCGGCAGTTCTACTCTGTCCTATAGGGTCATTATAAGTCAGAATCAACTCGATGCCAACAGGTTTTTTTGGGCTTATTCCTATATTTGGTGCCTACATTTATTAAGAAAGCCATGCCCCAAATAGTACCTGATGGCTGGCAGAAAATCACAATTACTGGCTAAGGAATGGGAAAATAATTATTATTTATTTGTATAAGTAAAAATTCTAGAATGGGGTAAGGGTGGGGCAGAAGATTAATAGGTTCTGGTTCCAATTAAGAAGCTAAAGGGGATTAGAAAATTCAAAACACAACTGAAACTTTAAATATTATTTCCCTTGGTTAGTTAAAGCTTAAGCCAATCAATCCTCTCTCCCCTTTTCTGGAGAAGCCTGCATTATTACATATGAGTTGTGTGCTGTAGCTAAGGCGAATGCAATTGTATTAGCCACCCTGGACTTGTTTAAATCACACACAATCCCCATTCTAATCTCCTGCTTGTATTGCAGGGGCTTATTTATTATTTTTTTTCTTTCTAGTTCAGAGCAGGAAAGAGAAGGTAGAGACACAGGCAAATTTTATTTCCTTTTCCACCTCTGCTCTCATTTAGAAAAGGTCAAATGAAGCTTTCCATAAATCTCATGCCTCAGGCCTTAACGCTCATTTTGATAAGTATTACAATTCTCATTATATATTAAAGGAATTATGTACCCCACTATTTAAATCACGGCCCAAAGTACCTCATGAAATTTCTTTCCAGCTTTGAATTCTACTATATCTGGCCATGAAATGGAACTGACAAAGTATACTTTAAAGTCTTAAACCATGTAGATTATTTTATAGAGCAAAAAACTGACCTTCAAATTTAGGGATCAGGTGTTGCTTGTTTCATCATCACACACTAGGGAAACCACAGGGTACAAGGCACTGTACTAGCTAGACATGATGGGATTTATAGGGTTCAGATTACTCTCAAACTCTTAAGACCTCCAGGTTTACTGCCAATCCCCTTGCCTACATCTGTCACAAATACAATCCTTATACTGAAAAAATAATCACTTGGAATACTATTAAGATGGTTGTATTCAATGAGAAGAAAACGTTTGAGCGCTAATCTCTTCAGTGTCCTTGGAAATCTAGTTGAGATCAAGCTGCTAAGGTGGTGAGCTCCTTGAGGGCAGTGGCTATGTCTAGCATGGAGGCAACATGGAAATATCATTCTAATTTCTGCATTGGTGGTTTGACAATGTTGGTAGTGAGTAACATCTACACCCTACACCAGGCTCAGTAACAGTACTTGGCATGACCAACCTTAGTCATCACTTTGGTAAGTGCTTTGGCACGGGCCACTGTTGCTAACCACCATCCTGACGCAGGTCCTTCACATCTGCTCTCCTATGGATGGAAAAAAGGAAGTGTCTAGTGTCCATTCATTGGCCACGTCACCTCCAACCCTATCCTTTACTCACGCCTTTCAATTCAGGCCCAGGAGAAAATGATTTCATTTTTCAGAAAGGAAAGTTAATCAGACAAAGCTACAGTACACTTTTAGCACATTAAAGACTTGGTTGAATGCAGAACATCCTTAAGAGTGACAGCTGAGGGAACCAACCAATGAGTACAATGCTGAAGAGGATTAGGAAGTGTTCTGGCAAACACTATAACAGACAGACACAGTAGCACAATGGACAGAGCAAGGCCTTGAGTTCTAGAAAATGAAGCTCCTAGTCTCAGTTTATTATAAAGCTAGAAAGAGAATGTATGCAAAAGTGTTCTGTAAACTGTTAAAGGAAATGGATTATTATCAGTCATTAGCTTGGAAATGTTTTGGGCAATTCTTTGGGTCTTGCTTCCCCTAATGATAAATCTGATAACACATATTCATCAAATAATAATGAAATAACTCAAGTTCTTTAGAAGAAAGATGCTACATGGGAATACCAAAGCCTTATTAACAATAGTAAATTTCCCTCCATCTGATCATTTCTCCGCTTTTCTACTAAAAACCTCTCAAACTTCAAGTATCAGCACAAATGCTACCTTCCCTGTGAAATATTCCCTTAAATTCATCCAGACAGAACAAACTGCTCCTTTTCCTGGGTGCTAACAGTTCAACATAGACCTCATTTTGTCACTATCTCCTTCTACCTTGTGTTCCAGAATACATCCCAGCCATCTCCTCCATTAGGATGTGAGTTTTCCGAAGGCAGAGACTGTCACGTTCGCCTCTGAATCTCCCCCAGCTTCCTAGCACAGTGCCTTGCATAGAGTAGCTGCTTAATCATGTTCCCTGAATTGTGCTGAATTTAGTCTACTTTGGCTTTATGGTGTTTTTTTTTTTTTCTTTTTTTTAATCTTAAAAAAAAAAAGTGAAAAGGGAGAAGAAACTTAAGACTAATGAGGAATACAGCACAACAAACATGTAAGATGCATAAAGAATGGCTTCATTCTTTGCATTCCTGCTTTGGAATGCCCACTGCTGATCTCTACACAGTTTCGTCATTGATTGTTATTAGTGAGAGCAAACGTTAGAAAGCACACAAAGGCAGACAATGTAAAAACCCACCACACGTCATACAAAAGGTCTATGTGATTTAGAGCTATTCTCAAGGTTGCCTTTTGCTTCAACCTTAATGGCAAAATTGGTACCGTAAAAGCCAACACAAGACATATTTGCTCGGCTTTATACATGCAAAAATCAGTATCACCTTTAGATTGAGTTGGGCATCTGCTGGGTGTTTCCAAGCAAATATGCATCTTCTTTTGAGGCACAGTTTAAATCAGGTAGAAGCTTGGGTATTTCAGACTTGATGTTTGTGTATTAATTTGTTGGCAGCTTCTAGAATATGTGGATTCCCCTGAGATTAAAAGGAGAAGGACCTAGCACCTTTATTTTCTTTCCGTTATAGTGATGCCTTATGCAGTGATGCTTTCTCTATCAGTAAGCCAAGTACCTGGATTATAATTCATTATATTTAGGCAGTTCTTTCCCCCATCTTCCACTTTCCTAGCTTGGAGTTTACCCATCTAGGGTATAGCCAGGGAATATATGGGTCATTTTAATAGTATCTGTCTTATCTTACAAGAACTCACGTTGCTGGTCAGAAAATAAAACTTATGCAACCTAACTGGTTTACTGTCCTAACAGACTAATACGCTCCTCTCAAACACTTGCTAACACCTCTCCTTCTAGCTTCCACCAGATGGGCTCTGTTGGTTTTCATCCTAACTGTTGTACTTGTATCACTGCATTTTCATTTACAAGCTATATCAGATTCTTTGGAAATAACCAAGCACAAATCTTGTTATTTATATATTCATTCAGAACTTGTTATTTTGCCTCCTACAACTTTGCCCTCTCAGTATCTTCTCTTTGACTATAAAAGTTCCGTCAGTAAAAGAAACATGTCTATTCTATACAAAGGTATGGAGAATGTCACTTGCAAACAGATAATTTCTACAGATTGTGAACACAGCCAGCTAGCTGTTGATTTCTACCGTCTTGGGAAAGGATGAAAATTTAAAACGGCTGGCTGGAATCCACTGAGTTCTAGTCATACTAGCTTTGTAGATAACGAGGCTAGTTATTTCTAAACAACTTCTAACACATTATTAGTATCATCTGAATAGAGCTCAGACTCTGCAACTGCAGAGTGTCTAAACAACCATACTTGTCATACTCCCCATGTGAGCCTCTTATTTTTGTCCTTTTCTACTGCTGTGCCCCTTAACCTCTCCTTGTTTCTTTTTTGTAACTGTCCCTTTAATGGTTGGCTTTATGGCCTTCTCATTCCAGTGGTTACTTCTCTTGACTGAGGGATACTAGCCTTAACATAGTTTTTGTGAAAAATGAGACGACCAGAAGAAATTCACTTTTAAGTGGCAGCTGCCACCACCACACAGAAACATTCATTCAAGATGGCTTAATAGAGACAGTGACTCAATGTATGACTAGAAAATATAGTAATTCGCCCAAGTGTGAAAGGAGTTAATATTCTCTAATAACTCCTCCAAGATGACTAGTTGCTGATTAATATGTATTTGACTTAATTATTTTTAAAACTGGCTAGGTTTTGGAGGGGAAGAAGTGTAACATAAGAGGGGGAGGGGAGGTGCTTTTAGAATCCCTGATTAATACAAGCGCCTGCTTTCAGAAAATCCTTCATTTGAGCTATTCTTTTTCCCATTGAATGCATGACATTTTAGAATTCTTGGTTGTAGCAGCAACCCAAAAAGGCAGAATCGCAAACTTGCACATCAAAAATGGAAAAAAAAAAAAAAAAAGGCATCGTGATTTGGAACAAAAACCAAAACAGACTAAAACAAAAATACAAGCAGCAGCAAAATCACTGAACCTAACTCACAGTATCTTTTTGAAGACAGGGAGGTTAGTTGGTTAAATATTGCAGTGGTCTAGTAGTTACTATCTTAGCTTTGAGAATTTAAATGTTTTAAGAATGCACATCCAGAAGCGGCACATGTAGAAAAACCATGGTAGCCAAGAGACATCTGAACTACTGCTGCCTGGGCCACCCTGTTCCAATCAACATGGATTTCCAGAGTTGCTGTTCTATGGTAACTCTCAGTGTGAGAGACAAAGAAATAGAACATTTTTAGAAATCAAGCAAAAAATGGATGGGAATACAATACCTGGAAAGTTTATCAAGCATGCTGACAAGTTTCATGGCTTCATATTCTTTTTGTTCTTCTGTCATTTCATCTATGGGGTTTGGCATTGGTTCCTCTAAATGACCAGTGATAAGATTAATGCTACAAAAAGAAAAAAAAGTTATGCTGTATGTTTTAAAATTATGCTCTTTCTATACTTTTCTGGTCCAAGTTGTAAGTTAATTTTAATAAGAAAGAGTTTAATAGCCAAAAAATTGGCAGTAATTTCAGTAGCAATTTTATGGTATAGAACTGCTATAAGAATTTTTTGAAAAATTTACTTTTCCTACTAATTTACTTCGGGAAACGAGCTATAGCTATTGTTTTTAAAAAAGTAAAATTGACTTGCCAACGTTTTTTAAAAAAGGAATGGTTGCTTTTTAAAAATATAAAAATTGATTGGTGCCGTTAGGATAAATATCCTTGGATGCTCAGCTTATTCATTAATTGTAAGGGGACAAATGATTTCAGAGAAGGAGAAATGAGGAAATCCATTTTGTGATATAGCATAAAACAAGCATGTCAAAAAAAATGGGAAAAATGATGAGAAAGGCTGCAATCTGGAAATGAAAGCATGCCAATTTATAATCTCAGGAAATTAGTCCATTAGTGAGACCACAGAGGGCAATGAGTGTTTAAATAATAAAAGGTAAAGCAGAAGAACAATTTTAATTAGATTTGATCTGACCTAGATGGAAAAAATAAATAAAAGGAATGAAATCCAGCCCACCAAGAGACAGGTATACCATTCTGGCTTTCTGGAAATAGATTTAATATAGTACTTACGCATAAATAGTACATAGTATAAAGTCTTATAATACCGACCAAGCTATTCTCTTAGATAAAAGCTAACTTTCTGTTTGTTTTTTGAGGAAGAAGAATATAAGATAATCATTCTTGAATAAAAAGATTTCAGTGTCTGCTTGTATCTGCAACTTAAGCATCTTTCTGGAGATGCAGACAAGGAGGTTACAGAATCTTGTACCAGCCAAATACAAATGGTTTATTTTTAACGATCAAATGAAATATCTCTGAAAACAGCAAATTGCTAGTAAACTGCTTTCCAGGGTCTACAAACACAAATGCTTTCAGGGGCCAGGCCTTCAAGGTAAGCAAACTAGTGAGTGGGCCAAGTACACAGGATGTGGAGTGTTGGGGACTAGGGTAAACTAGAGAACAGAGCCAGTATAAATTTAAAAAAAAAAAAAAATCATCATGTGGGCCAAAACAAAGACTCTGTGATCAATTAGATACTCTGGTGGCCAGCCTGCAACCTCTGCTTTGACTTTCACTTGGGCAAGTTACTTTCTGTAACTGCCCAGGGCTTCTCTCACTTGGAGTAAAGCTCTTACTACTAGAGCTCCTTCTCTTCTACATTCCTCAGAAGCTACATGACACACAGATTCTGTGGCAGGACTCAGTGGTCGCCATCCTCAAAAACCAGATCTAAAACATCTGTTTTACCATTCTTGTACAAGACCTATGCCTAGAGCATTGGTTAAAAAATTTTTCCCTTCAAAGCAGTGGAATCCCTTTTTCACAAATGTAATCTGCACAGAAACCGGATATATAAAATAGATAAAAGTAGAATTGTTCAGACAGAGGAAGGAATATGGATGGCCCAGGAGAGTGGGGGGCCTAGAGTCCCTTCCATTTGTCCCCCTACCCACTTGTTTCCTCTGGGGATGTGGGGAAAGAATTTGAAGACCCACAGGCTTGTCAGGGGATCTTGGCTTTGGCTGTACATTACAATCACTTGAGAAACTTACATAAAAAAAAAGAAAAAAGAAAGAAAAAGAAGGTTCTTGGGCTTCACTTCAGACCAAATGAATCTGTATTTTTTTTTCTAAGCTTTCCAGATGATTCTGACACACAGTGAGGTAAAGAACAACTGGACTAGAGTGCCTGATTCAGATGTTCCTTTTGAGCTACTACGTTCTATCCTTTTTTTTTCAGGTGCTTATAAAACAGAAAAAGGACTCTAGTAGGAGGCCATCAACAAAAAATGCTGAATGGGGTCATAATATTTCCCGAAAGTCAAGAACAAAGAGGACCCAAACTAGCCTTCTGAGAAGTATGAATGAAGTTTTTAAGATGTATCCAGATGCCACACTAAAAATGTAATTCCATCACTCAACTATTATTTGCTTAGGCATATAACAAGCAGACATCTGCTTTCACTGGTTTCACTTCTGCCATCTGATAAATTAAAAAAATAATTAGCCTTATAAATAAAGGTACTTACTGCAGACACATACCACTTCCCAACCAGACAAAGGAAAACAGGCTTAGAAGAAAGTTTAAGGGAAAACAGACATGTTAATTATATAGATCATGCTCATTTACCTCTGGAGAGAAAGTTTCTCTCCTCAAGTTTGATGGAGGTGTGATTTTTAAAATCAGACCCTAAGACTGTTTTAGGATATAATGACATTGGCATAAGCCATCATGTGCCTCAGGGGAAAAATGTGTCAGGAAGTATTGTGGTATTGTGGCTACCACAGTATACAAAGTCAGGACATGAATTCCTGGAACAGGACACATTTGATTCTCTTCTTGATTCTCTAAAGAGTTTAGTGGAGATGATGTCCATTTTCCACAAGCAGATCTCAAGTCGTCTGGTGACTAAAATGATTTCATTGCTTGTTCTGAAATTAGGTACTAAAGTCATAAAATTCTTTCCTATCTGAGCATAAAAGCAGCAGCCAGAAATGTATTCTTATAGAATAAGAACCATACCACCCTTTATCTGTGGAGTAAAGCATTCCAACCCCTCAAAGTCACACCAGGAAATTCAGGTTTTATTTTTTCCTTTAAAAAGACATTTTCTCCCCTGACACTCAGAAGAACATAAACAAATCCACACAAAACACAAGCTGGGGCACTGAACTGTGCCACTCTCTAATGGGAAAAATGCCAACGTGCTGGGGGCAGAAGGCAGAGGGACACTGTCTCTCCACCATCTTCCACTCTCGCAAACCAGAATCTTATGTAGTTTCCCTACCCAGAGAGGGAGAGAAAATAAATAATAGTTACGTGACACCAATGCTGTGAGGTTTCATAAAATAGATTATTTTTGCTTGACCAACACCTGACACCTTTACAACTGCAAATAGTAAGTAGTCTTAATTTTCTACATTTCAGGATCACTAAAACCAACCAACCAACCAACCAACCAACCAACCAACCAACTAACCAACCAACCAACTGCCATTGAGATGATTCCAACTCATGGCAACCCCACGTGTGCCACAGCAGCACTGTGCTCCATAGGTTTTCAATGGCTGATCTTTCAGAAGTAGATCGCCAGGCTTTCTCCCGAGACACCTTTCAGTGAATTTGAACTGCCAACCCTTCTTTCAGTTAGTAGCCAAGTACAATTCTGTAGTTACTTTGATTTTGTTCTGAGACTGATTCTTAAGGTGCTTTAAGGACACTAATTGTGGTGGGTATTTTACAGAGTAATTTTCTATTTATCATGATTTCTCTTACCTTGTCTCAGCTCTGTCCTCCTACCCCAGCTTCCTACCCCTCCAATCCTCAGATTATTTATGTCTAAACTCTTATCTGTGGTATTTCACTGTGAACTTTGTATTATACAGGGCCATTATACGAACTGATAGCAGCCATGGGGCTAGAGACTAAAGGATTAAGATAGCCTGAAAAAGTAAGAGCAAATGAATATATGTATAAATGCTGGAATATATTTCAAGTCTTTTGCTCTTTCTTCAAACTGCTGCTTCCTTTGGCCAACATTAATAGCACTAGGTCATTTAACAAAGAGCCATAAAAAGTTCCCACGGCTATAGGAAAATTAACATCAATCTCTCACAAGTGTGGCTTAAACACTAAAGTATTCTGGTTAAAGGGGCTACAAAGTCAGCTCCCTACAGGGGCTAGGCAGATAAAATCAGGAAATGGCTAAGCTGTCAAACCAAAGGAGCTTATGCCTGGTATAAAGGGGACCACAGCTACTCAACCCCAGTAGTTGGCTATTGTCATGGATTGAATTGTGTCCCCCCAAAATATGTGTCAACTTGGTTAGGCCATGATTCTCAGTATTGCGTGGCTGTCCTCCATTCTGTGGTTATAATTTTATGTTAAAGAGAATTAGGGTGGGATTGTAACACCCTTACTAAGGTCACATCCCTGATTCAATGTAAAGGGAGTTTCCCTGGAGTGTGGCCTGCACCACCTTTTATCTTACAAGAGATAAAAGGAAAGGGAAGTAAGCAGAGAGTGGGGACCTCATACCACCAAGAAAGCAGTGCTGGGAGCAGTCCTTTGGACCCAAGGTTCCTGCAGGGAGAAGCTCCTAGTCCAGGGGAAGACTGATGACAAGTACCTTCCTCCAGAGCCAACACAGAGAAAGAGCCTTCCCTTGGAGCTGAAGCCCTGAATTTGGACTTCTAGCCTACCAGACTGTGAGGAAATAAATTTCTCTTTGTTAAACCCATCTATCTGTGGTATTTCTGTTATAGCAGCACTAGATGACTAAGACAGCTGCCATGTGAGAATGCAGGCCCAATGTTATCAAAACCTTCAATTTTTCAAAAAGAAGCTGAAAATCCAGATTCTCATCTGAAATACTTGAATTCTGAATGTTGGCAAGTAATTAAATTATTTTAAGACGCAATATGTAAAATAAAACAAAAACACAAAACCAAATAACCAATACTATATGGGTCACACCAAGCAAAACATACTAGTGGGAAAGGAATCAGGGTTTTCAGGAAAAGTATTTTGTAAGCACAGATCACGGAAGAAGAAGGTGGGTGGGAAAGGAGATGTTACATGCAAACAAAGCTGGAAATGTCTTTCCAGGAAAAAAAAAAACAAAAACCAAAAACCCACCAGAATATCTGCCTCCCCCATACTTTAGATGATAATAAAAAGAACAAAGTGGAAATTTGCCATGTCCTGATTTTCTTGAATCCCACCCCCTCCCCAACGATATGTGGAGCTTGATAAAGGAAAGAAACTCAATCATCTCGGTATTCTATGCTGAGAAGAGGCTAATTAATAAATTCATTTATTCAACAAAAATTCAGTGAGCACCTACCCTGTGCCAGGCACTATTATTCTAGGGATATCTCAATGAA